CAACAACGGACAAGAATATTAAAAGACGCGACTTTGAAAATAAGGATTTCTGGATTTATTGGGAAGGGATCGGTGTTTGTTCAAAATATCGATCCTTGTATAAATCAAGTGGCAAAACTGGAAGAAACCCTAGAAAAATTTCCTCTCAATCTCTCGTGAAGTTCTCTAATACGAATCAAAATCTAGCAGTGAAGGGAAGAGAGAAACAAAAATTTGGGAGTGAGAAAAGAAAGAAACTCAAAAGTGGATTTGGTTTATAAACTCAAAAGTAGAGAGAGACGGAGAGAGAAAGAAGATCAGTCGCGTCAGCTTAACGTCAATTGCTTAGTTTACAGTTTTACCCTTCTAATAGCTCGATTTTACAAAATTGCTTTAATGATTATTCACTGCTTATCGGTTAAATCCGGTTCTGATTCAGACCGCATCCTCCAACTCTTGTTCATTAGTTGTCCGTACATTCAAATGTGAAGTAAGAAAGCACTGGATTTGCGTATTGATACTAAACTTTAAATATCATTAATGAAAATGAACCGTTTAGGTTAAAAAATATTGTCGAAACAAAATGGTAAGCCTCTAAAACATGATGAATCACCTAATACGTCCTCACTAACCAATTGGATCTCGAGCACTAGAAAGAAAGTAGCACTACCTTAATCCACACAGTAGAACAAACAAACAAAAAAAAGAGATGATGTGTTTAAGAAAAAACAATGCCCAAGTGCAATTGAACAAGCTATGTATCCTCTTTACCTAGACTTAAATACTTCATAGAATAATAGAATTTGGATAATTAGAGATCGTTTGTTGATGTTGAACAAGCTAAAAAGAAAGAGTTTGATTCCCGTGGATTCCGGGATAAGAGATTTCGGTGGGTTTAGGATTCCGACTTAAGGAGTACAAATTCGTAAAAATATGGTGTTGCTTGGTTTTATGCTATGTTGTTCATCCCTAGGTTGAACTCTTTACCACTTCTAAACAAGTGAACAAGACTTTAAGCTTTGTTAATCCT